AACGAGCGGCTGGTGAGTTGTCTCCGAGCACCTGGAGAGTCAGAACAGGCCTTTTCGCGCGACGTGTTTCTGTGAGTGCTGCAAGCCGAAAATGCAGCGTTCGAGCAGGGGTACACGATTAAATTCTCTGTGATCAAGCAGGCTTACCCAGATGTTGGTTTAGCAAGAAGTGGTGTGTTTCGGTGGCACCAGGCCTTTTCAGAGGGCCGAGAAGAGGTCGCCGATGAAGACCGTGCTGGAAGACTTTCGACTTCGACAAACACAGACAATGTGACTCGTGTGCGCGAAGTTTTGAACTTAGACCGTTGACTAAGTATTTTTTTAATTGCCCAGATATTAAATTTACCAAAATCTGTGGTTTATGACATTGTGATGAAACATTTGAACATGCGCAAGGTGTGCGCGAAGATGGTCCCAAAAGTGCTCACTGACGACCAAATATTGCGGCGAGTGAAAGTGTACCAAGAAAATTTAAACATGTGTGAAAGTGACCCCCTATTTTTGAATAATGTAATCACAGGTGACGAGTCATGGATCTTTGAGTATGATCCTGAGACAAAGAGGCAATCTTCCGAGTGGCACACGCCGGCGTCTTCTCGCCCAAAAAAGGAAAGAATGAGCAAATCCAATGTGAAAACGATGCTCATTGTCTTTTTTGACATGAAAGGCATCGTCCACCACGAATTTGTTCCTCCTGGACAAACCGTCAACGTCAAGTTTTACGTGGAAATGCTCAAGGGACTCAAACGAAGGGTCAATCGGGTCCGACAAGACATCGCAGTTGACTGGAAGTTGCACCACGACAACGCCCCGGCTCACACCGTATCCCAACGCTTCCGCAGCCACCCTACAGCCCAGATGTGCCCCCCGCCCGGACTTTTTTTTGTTTGCTAGCCTGGAAAGGCCGATGAAAGGCAAGCATTTTGAGACGACAGAGGGGATCCAAGCAGCATGCACCGCGGCTCCTAAGGCTATTCCGGAATATGCCTTCCGTGACGCCTTCAATGCTTGGAAATCGCGTTGGCAGCGCTGCATCGACGCAGAGGCTCAATAAATTTTTTTAAATCGTCTCTCCTATTACTTTCCGGACAAACCCTGTACATGGCCTCTTGAAGGTTGAAAAAGAATGTACATTGTGTGCAGTTTCCAGGGCAGCATGTAAACATTCCCTTTTAATGATCGATACTAAAAATGCAGGGAATCATCTTGATGTATGTCTACATATCTCTATACTTAATTGTTAATTATTAATAATTAGTTTTTTAAACTAAAAGCATCATTTTTATATCTACCAATTCGAAGTATTTTTATTTTTCATTAGGTTTTTAATATTCAGTCAGTTTTGTTTTCGCCCAATTAGTAAATGACTTACTGTTTCTTGTGCAGAACTGAATTTCTTTAGCACTGTAACTCCATAGTCTGGCCTTCATTAAACAAGATTTTCGTGGGTGGACGGGAATAGATGAGATTATCCTTGAAAAAGAAAAACGATTCAGTTCAATTGAGGTCGTTATCCCAGTTGTAACTCATTCTTAACGATCTAGACGATGGACGTTATTCCGAATTGGACTGCACTGAATAAACGTCTAATAAAATGTTAATGAAGAAATACAGTTAGCGTTGCTAATGTAAAACAAATGGTTTTCGCGTAAACCAGAGACACAAAATAGGAACCCGTTTCGCTTCATTTCCATTGCAATCCACTCGATCAAATTAGTAGACTGGACAACTACACTGCAATAAATTTGCCCCACTAAAAACAGTGGCACATTCGATAAATACCTCGACTTGCTCCTTGTTGTCGGACAACTTTGGAGCGACTCGATCTCTCTTTATAAAAATAGATACCTACCTAAGACTCCGCTATTCAATTCAATGCCAAGTTTACGAATATTGTAACGACTACTTCGTACTAGGTACTATTATTATCTTTCTATTAAAGTCACTTAATGGAAAATGGATTATATGTAATCCATGTTCATAAATATTTATTCATTTATTGCACTGATAACTTGGCATTTTAACTGGCGGATGCTGTAATGACTTTGGTAATAGCAGACTTTATACAAAAAAAATCAAGTAAGTGCAGCTATATAGACTGAAAAGGTGATTGCCCTTAGTTTTATGTGTTGTGAAATAAAATTCCTTCCAAGGAAAAGGGAAAAATAGCTTAACTAAGGGTAACCAATCCAAACTCAAAGTGAAACTTGAAGAACTTAAAAGACGATCAGAATTCACTTTCTATGAAACAGCGAGTAATTATCTTAAATACTACAATAACTAGTTATTGTACCAACTTGATTTCAAATAGTTCCTACGATTTGATGCTTTTGCAGGGAAGAAAACAAACTTGAAAACTGAAATAGTGTATCATCCTTGCCATACTTTTATTTGAGAAACTCAGGAGTCGTGAATGAAACTAAAGTGCAATTGTATTAAATATTTTTGTCCTTTTAATTTATTTGGTAAGTGAAAATCAGAGAACCTTTTGAAACGTTAAACTTCAATAGATTTCTCCAGTTATGAATTTTTTTTACACCAAAGTCAACTTTTAGAAAGCTACCCCCCAATGGGTAGTTGTTGAAAATATATTGTTATTGAGGACCATAAATAAATCGCTTGCACGTTCGAAGACCAATTACGGCTATCGTACAGACGTTTTGTTTTTGTCCTAAAAATACTTGATTGTATTATCTACATTGTATATAAGTAATTGAATGTTCACCTAAAGCTTCTAGATTGATCGAAGTCTGAGTTTTTTTAGTTAACAGATCATTCTTCCATTCTCTTATTCTTTCTAATACCTCTTCATTTCTAACCTTTTCTATCTACAGTATCCTTATCGTTCGCCTGTAACACCACATTCCATTTTCCTTTCCGCGGCATCTTATCCAAACATTTTTAGGATTGACGACCTTATGATGAAGATGAGATCATCTAACAATTTCTTATTGAAGATTACTCAGTATTCCAAATTTTCTTCCATTTATCTTTGATATTTAAAGTGCTACATACTTTTTAAGCAAGGCCCCAATTTAAATAGTCATTCGGGATTTCAACCTTCTACAGTGTAAAACAGAAGAGCAATTATTAGAAATTTTTAATCAGAATTTATCATTTATTCCCTGAAAAATTAAATTATGAAGTAAGTAAATTGTAAATTACACCGGGGGTGTCCCAAAAGTCGTATCCCGCAAGTAATGGTAGGAGCCTTATCACTATGCAAACGACAGTGATTTTCTTTTAAAGCTTATTAACGATTAGAATGTTATTACTTTTTAATGGCATCCTACTTTCCATACATACAGCTCCATACACATAAAACTTTTTGAATACAATGAGCTTAATTCAGCCTAACGTACTCCAAGGAAATCCCAAGGTAGAAGGTGATTTTATGCATTTTATGGTCCGCTGCAGTTTACTTATATAACTGTTCGAAATAATGTAAGAGATAGATACCTACTTGAGAGATGCCTCCTGCAATCAATAAATGACCGAAAAATAAGAAGTGAAATTATTATAAGTAATCGATTTATCTGATGATGAAGTTTAATTGTCACAATCTGGTAAGGATTAATTAATTCCTCGAATAGATTTTATTATTTTATTAATGAAACAGCAGTTTTACGTCCAGTAGTTAGTATTTTCTGTAAACTTTTATGAAAGTTAATACATTTTTCAGTACATTATTTTTACAAACTAAAATGGTTTCAAAAATCAACATCATTTTTACATGAAAGAAAACAAATTCAGTTATTTCACGTTAATTCATTGTGAATTTTTAAAATGTCCTGTTTTTAGATTGTATATAAATTGCACCATTCAGACGATTCGTTAATTTGAATACAAGTTTTTGCAGTTGCATATCTCTGCTTATTATGGAAGTCATCATGATATACTCTATATCACATATTCCTTGAAAGAAAATACCACTCAATGTAACTTACACATTGCTTCCTGTTAGTTAAATATGTTGTGAACCACTAAACTAGATCATTAGCAAATCCATATACATACCTGCATTTTCTTAACCATTTAATTACAATTTTAATAAAAAAAATTCTTTCAAGTTCTTAATCAGAGGTTAATCGAAACTACAGACGCAGTCTCGATAAATCTCTGAGCAAATCAATGCTCCTGCTCCTAAAGAGCGAGTTTTTTACTATGTCTAATGAGCCATCTCGCTTCACTCTGTGATGTACATAAACATGAGGGAATTACCTTACCGAATGCCCCAACTGCTCCGACAATAATGATGATGGCGCGATTCGCATAATGCCGCCACTTCATTCCCATTGCACTGTCCATATGTGACCACTATGTACGCATATTCTGCAGATGAATACATTGATTTTTGCTTTTGCCAGTCGAACGCTAACGAGTTTATTACTAATCATTACCAGCAATTGACCTGTATACGTACCAGCTGTTGCGAAGGTCACGAATAGGTATGTGTGTTTCGTCAGTTAACGCTTGCTATAACGAAGGGCGATAAGATAAAGCGGCTACCAAACTATCAACTGTTCTCAATCATTGACGACGCATTAACTGTGCATATATTTTACACCCGCTACGTTGTGGTGCTATCAGATGATGCACTCTACAGTGCCTTCTGATGTTACCTTTCCAATATTCTGGAATACTGATCAGATAATGTATAATATCCAAGCATAAGCAGTATACAACCATCTAGTAGTTCTTCGATTCAGTTATAAGTAAGTTGATACCTTAGTAAGCCCTGTCTTACGCATGAAATACTTAAATCAGCAAATAACCACTAGATGGCTAGATAGCTATATACTGCATGTACTTGGATATTTTGTAGTTTTAATTTTATCAGAAACGGTAGCTATATTTTTTTACGGCTATGATAAGAAACCATGCTTATGAAACGTGAACTTACAACCTATAAAAATAGATGTTTCTCTTTCTCAATTTCCTTTATTGTAGTGATCCTCGATAGGTTTAGAAAGGATTTAAGAGGGATATTTTAATTTCAGTTCAAGTGGAAGGGAATGGCCCTTATAAGCCTGTTCCACCACCGAAACCACTTCAGCAACAGAACACGAGCTGCTTCACGCCACCTCCCTATAGGATGCCCCCTTATCCGCTTTATAACGAGCCTAACATCCCTGGTGCTGCCATTTTGGACACCCCAACTGTCACACCCACTCCAGATAATTTACACACACACTCCAGCAAATTTCCGGTAAGCCAGAAAGAATTTATTGCTTTTACAGAAACGTCTTAAATTTTCAACGTTACTGATGCAGCCTTCGAACAAAGTATGAAGACAAAGCGCAAGTTAAATTTAAAGAAATCATCAAATTGAAATGTTTAGATGTAAAATTATATATCCCTAGAAAAAAATTTTTAGTCTCCTGTCTTTCAGAGTCTTTCAGCGTCAATGAGAGCGTCTCTCACAGTCTTTCACAGTCTCTCAGTTATTGCCTGGGTGTTTTTATGGATCTCTCACAGTCTCTGTATGAGACACTCGAACGATAAAATTGTTAATTCAGAGATTCGAGTCTCTCACAGAGAGACTGAATGAATAAAACTGAAAAATTGAGAGACTCGTGTCTCTTGTAGAAAGACTGGTATCTCGAAAACATGTTGAACTTTGAATTTTAACCATATCTATCGAGACACCACTTATTGAGAGATTTGAGTCTCTCGTTCAGAGACTGGATCCGAAGTGAGGATATCTCTATGAGCGACTCGAGTCTCTCGTTCAGAGACGCTAAACAGTTTTTTGACAGTCTCTCAGCGACACGAGAGAGACTCGATGAGAGAATCGAGTCTCGCTTTCAGAGACTCTGAGAGACTGAACATTTTTATCTTGGGATTGCATATTGCTACGAACAATATTAATTCTTGATCAGTTATTTATCGAAACTAACAAGTGTAGATCTTCTTAGATTCCATCAGCAGGCCACATGCAATATCGATAAATGACTAACCAATAACGTATATTCTATGCATACGAACTGCGTCATTAATTGATTTGGTTAAGGTTCTTGTATAACTTTAGTTAGTTTAAGTTGACAACTTTGCAAGTAGAATTTCCTTTTATCATAAATTATGCCTGTGATAACAACCCTAACTCGTTACTTAATATTGTAGTAGCAAGTACTTGTAAAGGCTGTTAATAAATAAACATTATTTAATGTTTAACGTTTATGTAGGTATATCAGGTAGATATGTTACGGTTAATATGTAAAGTAGCTGGATAGCACTCACTAAGTATATCCGTCAAGCCAGACATTTGAATAGTTTGTATACCGTCCAGCTAATTAAGCAAATAAGCATAATAACCGTAAAAGATATTATATCAATTATGAAATTTTAAGTTTCAAGGGATTTTGTGAAAAATATTTTCTTATCCATACACGGAGAAAACTAAATTTTTATGGTTAAGCGAAAATTACAATTTTCGATTGTAGATGACTAAATTTGCTGTAGAAATACTAGATTTTTTTAGGTAACTTGTAATAATCTCAATTTTGGCATGCTTTTTTAAAAAAATTATTAAGTTTCTTAATTATTACAGTTTAATTTGTAATATCAACTAAAATACCNAAAGATTCACACTAACTCGCTACGTTTTTTGTTTTTAATAATATGGTCACTAAAAGCTTTTACAAGTGCTTAAAGTTGATGCTTCTTCTAGGACACGTATTTTCAATAGACATTAAAAAATTAAGAAATGGCCTTCGACAGGCTTTAGAACAAAGCTAAATGTATCTTACTACAAAATTTCAAACCTCTGCTTTAAATATAAAACTCATGATATCTAAAACTGATAAGCATGTTTTTAATCTACGGCGCGTGTACCACTGAATCTAATGTAAAACTAATGTATCGACATCTTTTGAAGAGAAAAAGATTCAGTGTTATTTTTCAACGTATCAGCATCTTTTGAGTACTATTGGCTCGTGCCGAAGCGACTTTTATAAAAGATGTAACCGAGTGGACTAATTTCAAAATTCAATACAAGAAAAAATCACTAAATTTTTTAAACTCTTACCTAAAGGTGATTATAACGATTAATTTTAATTGCGAATTTATCAATACATTGATTTTATTTTGATACATATCGGTTTTATTTTGGAAGCTTAGAACGTATCCCCATGATTCCATACTAATTATCATTCCATATCCACGGTTTATGTATTCGCTGCATATTTATGGAATGAATACCCCGCGAATATTAGACAGACCATAATCAATTGCGAATTTATCAATACATTGATTTTATTTTGATACATATCGGTTTTATTTTGGAACCTTAGAACGTATCCATATGATTCTATACCAATTACCATTCCATATCCACGGTTTCTGTATTCGCGGCATATTTATGGAATATTTAAACTTTCAACGGTGTATTCTCGATGAAACATTTTCAAAAAAGAAAAAGAATGTAAAAGATGTTTCAACAAAACTGTTTATTCCTCGACAATTGTTTCGACCTCTAACAGGTCATTTTCAAGAGTACAAAAGTTACTTTTAAAAGACTGTATCGCCTTAATAATTAGGTAAATTTTCCTTTTTCATTTTCTCCGGGTAACTTCTCTGAAATTGGTATATAACACTCACGGATGTTAGGTACGCAGTTAATAAATTGTACTGCCTTATCTGTCACTTATTAAATCGGGAGAAAAACATAAACCAAAAGTATTTCATATGTGGAATTCCTACATTCTATTTGTCCGTTATAATACAGTTTACATCCTTTGGTCAAATTATGTACTACGCGCCTTTAGAACTTCATAGCACTCTTGATTACCATTTGATATACAGTACCAGCAGTTAATGGGTTCCTTCGTTGGATACTTACTGTAGAACCTACATATACAATCGGCAAAAATATCTACAGAATGCAGACTGATCCGTTAAATGTAACCAACACGGCATACATTCATATGCCAATTAATAAAACGTGCTATTACTAATACGGTTAATTTCCTACAAATTTATTGCTACATCTAGCCATTTACAGCGAAATTTAAGTACTATTGTACGTATTTCGTTCTAGCAACTGCATCTACTCCGATAGCAGATATCGAATAGTTTTATCTACTACTAACACACTATAAATTTTCTGTGGTTCTGGTATTTTACAGATCATTAAAGTATTGTATGAATGTAAAGCAAATTCTACTTGCAAAGATGTCGACTTAAAGGAAGTCGATTGCTTCGTAAACGGACATAAAATATACATATATGTATCATATTTAGTTGCAGTGTAGTATATCGTCATCTACCGATATCTAATGCTGACTAAATGGAAGTACATTTTAATATTGAATACTGTTTTTTTAAAGGAATAAATACATATAGCCTTAAATTACTATTGATAAATAATAAATAGAAATAGAATTGCTGTTGTCACCTCTCGTAGTTTAGTGGTCAGAACATCGGTGCGTAAAGCAAAAAGTCCCGGGTTCGATTCCCGGCGAGGGTGTGACAACAGCAACAATTTTTCCCTCATTAATTTGAGGTAGCGTGTAGTGGTTAAAAAAAAAATCAAAAATGAATTTTCAGATTAATATTTCATATTCATCATCATCATAAGGTCATCAGTCCTAAGACTGGTTGGACACGCACCTCCACTCTTTCCTATCCTGAGCTAAACTTCGCATTTCCCTAAAAGTAGAACAGCTCACATCCTTAACTATTTGCTAACAGTAATCTAATCTAGGTCTACCTCTACCCCTCCTAACTCCTGTTTCTGCCTCTAATGTGTCTCTGACTAGACCTTCATGCCAGAGAAGGTGACCTACCAACCTATCTCGCCTATTTTTTATTGACTTCCATAGAGTCCTCTGTTCTTCTATTCTTTCCAATACCTCTTCATTTCTAACCTTTTCTACCCACGATATCCTCATCATCCGCCTATAACACCACATTTCGAACGCTTCTAACCTTTTCCGCCGCGCCCATTNAGCACCCAAATTCGGAAAATGTATTATCGAATTTGTACGAATTTATCCCAACCATATTCAAACATATTAAAATCATAACAAGGCGATGATTCTCAATTCAATAAAAAACTAGAAGGAGTCGCCTAAGAAGCCAGATTAATCATCAGGGCGAAAAATGTTGGTAGAAACAAAAAACAAAGGATAGCGCAAAACCGCGTCGGTTGTAACAAAAAGTGAAACAGTTTTATGCTGATCGGTTAATTTAGAAATTCGAAAAAAGTTGTATGTCTGGAGAACGCCGCTGTACTGCTGCAAAACAAGGACACTGGATGCAACGGAAATGAAAATGTTAGTACCGTTCGAAATGTGGTGCCACAGACTACCTTAGATAGAAAAGGTTAGAAATGAGGAGATATTAGAAAGAGTAGAAGAACAGGGGGCGCTATGGAAGTCAATAAGAGATTAGTGAGATAGGTTGGTAGGACACCTTCTCAGGCATGAAAAATTAATTAGAGACATATTAAAAGGAGTTAAAAGGAGTAGAGGCAGCAGCCCTAGATTAGATTACAGTTCACAAATAGTTAAGAATGTGGAATGTTCTAAAGAAATAGTAATAGTAAATAATAGTAAGTAAAAGAAACTGAAATGGTAAATTAAACTAACACAAAATTATACAAAAAGGAATGAACGCGTAATAAGATTTGTAGTCAGAGATACACACTGTCACCGCTACTTTTTAATTTATACATCGAAGACACGATCAACATCATTACAGATACTACAACTGTAAGGATAGATATACAAGAGTAAAGTATGCTTAGATTTGCAGATGATATAGCAGTATTAATATCTAGCAAGGAGGAGTTAGAGATAGCTATAAATAAAATGGAAGCGGTATTGACAAAACAGTATAGCAGTATCAAAATAAACAAATGTAAAACAAAAATACCGGTATGCAAGCGAATTAAAAGTAAGGAAAGAGCAAATATAAAGATAGAAGACGAAAAATTAGAAGAAGTGGCTGATTTTTGGTATCTAGGAAGTCAAATAAGTCAGGACGGAAAGAGTAGTAGGAATATAAAGCAATGGATACTGCAGGGTCAAATCGCCTTCAATAAAAAGAAGTCACTTCTGTGCTCGCAAACAATTAATTTTGAAATTCAAAAGAGATTATTAAAGGTGTATGTTTGGAGAGCAGCGCTGTACGGGTGCGAAACATGAGCAGGGTGCGCGGCGGAAAAGAAAAGGTCAAAAGTATTAGAATGAATAGGAGAACAGAGGA